CCCTACCCGCTCTGTCCCGTGCATCATCTTATAAACCTCAATTATGTCACCCCTCAGCCGTCATTTCTCCAAGCTAAAGAGCCCTAAGCGCTTTAACCTTTCCTCATAGGGAAAGTATTCCAACCCTTTTTCTCATTCTAGTTGCCCTTTTCTGCACTTTTTCCAGTGCTATAATATCCTTTCTGAGGTGTGGTGACCAGAATTGTACACAGTTCCTAGTTTCAGCAAGCTGTACACAGGAGTATAGACCACACAGTCCCTGGTAATTTATGTAGATAACTTTGTGAGACGTTTAGTAATGTGGAATCTGGTATAGCCCACCCCTGAATACTGTCCTTTCCCATGGAACTGAGGTGCCTCAGGACAAACCAGTCATGCTGTGAAAGTTTGATTTCTCTCGCTTTTTTTCCTAGTTCCTCGCCATGGGTAACGTCCTGGCCACCAGCTCCCCGGTGCCCCCTCCTCCAGTGCCGGGGCCGGGCAGCGGCCTGGTGTCGGTGCCCCCCGGCTTCACCATGCCCCCCGTCAGTGGGCTGGTTTCCCCACCGCAAGATCGGGCCGCAGAAGAGAAATCCGACCAGCTTCCCAACCCAGGCACGTTTGAAGAGTGCCATCGCAAATGCAAAGGTAAAAAAACTCCCCCTCGCAAAGGCTGCGGCAGGGTCTTTTGCCCGAAGTCTGGAAAAGTGGGAATTCAGAGTGGTTTGGTCAGAAACAACGAGAGAAAAGGATCACACCGCCGAGTCACAGAAAAAAGGCAAAACCCTCAAAGGCCCAGTCTGCATCCAGCATTTGCTCGGTTGTTTTACCAAACCCGCACTGGAACAGAAAAGGATGGGGCTCAAAACCACATTCAGATACCCTGGGGCCAACGCCGTACTGACCGCGGAGCCATCCCCCCCCCCATGGCCACAAAACAGCCATAAATCTATGCAGACAGTACCATAAAACCGAGAGATCGAACGCAGTGAAAGCGGCATGCAGTCTGGACGCTGCCATAAAATCCGGCAGTCAGTCCAAGTGAAAGCGGCATGCAGTGCAGAGGGGAATTTCCGTTCCAGCGTGGGTTTGGTAGAACAGCGGAGCAAATGCTAGATGCAGATTGTTTCGAAGTGTCTCTCTGGCCCAATCTTGCGAGTTTTATTTATTTATTTATTTTATTTAATTTATACCCCGCCCTCCCTGCACGCAGGCTCAGGGCGGCTTACAGTATGAGGTGCATTACAGCACCATAATACACAACATGGCACACAGTGCGATAAAAACACAATAAAATATTTTAAGACACTTTAATACAATGGGCAAGCGCCCAAGGATCCCGCGTGACAAACACCTCTCTCCATATTGCACCTGCCCTTGGGGCAAGGGAGGATGATGTGGCCCCCTGATGTAACTTGGCCACTCAGCCTCCGGCAGCGGTGCTGCAATCCTGGCCCTCATTGATGGTAGTGGTAGCGGCGGCGGCTCCTATTCAAAAGCCTGGCGGAAGAGCTCCGTCTTGCAGGCCCTGTGGACCTGTAACAGGTCCCGCAGGGCCCTGATCTCTTCCGGGAGCTCATTCCACCAGATAGGAGCCGCCACCGAAAAGGACCTGGCCCTCGTGGCAGCAAGCCTGGCCTCTTTCGGGCCCGGGGTCGCCAGGCGATGTTGCGACCCCGACCGTAGTGCTCTCTGGGACCTGTGCGGGGAAAGGCGGTCCCTCAGGTATGCCGGTCCCTGGCCATGTAGGGCTTTAAAGGTAAGCACCAGCACCTTGAAGCGAATCCGGAATGCTTTTGACTGAGCTGTTTTCTGAAAACAGGCGACTTTCATCGCAGGTCTCACCCCTGGAAAAAACGCTATAATAAATTTGTTCTGGAGCACCTTGTGTCTTTCTTTCAAGCAACCATCCCTTCCTTGTAAACGGCCCTGTAATTATACAATCGAGGCCTCCTTTCGGTTTGTCGGAATTGCGTCTCTTTCTGGAAACTCTCCCCGGCGACTGAAAACCCCCAGCAGCAGCTAAAAGGGCTCCTTGCCCAATTTCCCCCTTTTTATGTTTACGTTGTCAGTTTTGTGCTTTTTTTCCTTGCTTGGAGTCACATTGGGGTTCTCTTATTTAACATTCACAACGACACTGTCGTTCGATTCGCATGCAGCGTTCCCCTAGTAGCTTAATTCTGGTTCGCAGAGAACAAGCCATCGTTTCTGTGGTTTGGACAAGGTAAAGGTAAAGGTTTCCCTTGCTCGAAAGCCAGTCGAATCCGACTCTAGGGATGCGGTGCTCATCTCCGTTTCTAAGCCAAAGAGCCAGCACTGTCCAAAGATTTCCGTGGTCACGTGGCCAGCATGACTAAACACCGAAGCACACGGAATGCTGTTACCTTCCCACCAAAGCGGTACCTATTTAAAAAGGTAAAGGTTTCCTTGCTCGAAAGCCAGTCGAATCGGACTCTAGGGTTGCGGTGCTCATCTCCATTTCAAAGCCGAAGAGCCAGCGCTGTCCGAAGACGTTTCCGTGGTCATGTGGCCGGCATGACTAAACACCAAGGTGCACAGAACGCTGTGACCTTCCCACCGAAGTGGTCCCTATTTATCTACTTGCAGTTTCTTGCTTTCGAACTGCTAGGTTGGCAGGAGCTGGAACTAGAGACGGGAGCTCACTCCGTCACGCGGCACACTCGGGTCTCGAACCACTGAACTACCGACCTTCCAGTCTGCAGCTCAGCATCTTGACCTCTGAGCCACCGCGGCCCCTGAGCTGCAGCTCAAATGGCTTCCCACTTTTATGTTTTAAGTTGTCAGTTTTCTGCTTCTTCCTCACCTGGAGTCACATCACTGGGGTTCTCTTATTTTAAGTTCACAGCGACACTGTCGCTCGATACACGTGCAGCGGTCTCTCAGTAGCTTAATTCCAGTTCGCAGCGAACAAGCTGTAGTTTGTGTGGTTTGGACAAGATATGGGTTTGCCAGAGATGCGCTCGGTTAGGCACGCTAGTCGGGGAGGGAGCCGATGAGCCCATGGATTCCCCGGGCTCGTTCCTGTAACAGCAAATCATCGTCGTCTTTATGCGTGAATCACGCCTAGAAGGCACAACAAGCAGAAGGAAGCATAGCAACTTGCCCGAGGACTCCCAAGTACACCTTGTGGCAGGGCGAGGATTCGAACCTGGGTTTCCTGCAGACACACAAGCTCGCTGCCTCCTTGTTTTGCACTCCTTTCCTCCGGGGCAGGTCCTAGTCCAGAGGTGTCAAACTCATTTGTGACGAGGGCCGGGTCTGACATAAACGTCACTTTGTCGGGCCGGGCCACGTGGGCCATAAAATGTAACGCCAGGCACCAGAGATATGAACTTTATAAAGGACACAGGTGAACCCAGTGAATGATACAATAAAAATAATTATTATTTTTAACTCAAAATACAAAGGAGAGCAATTGATCCCTAGCAGTGGAAGCAATTGATTTACTGGGGGACCCACGAAAGCCCCAATAAATGTATTTAATCACGTGCAAGACTAGCTTTTTTCCCCCCCAAGGGATACCATAAAAGGGGGAGTACCTCACATTTCCATACATACCAGTTGCTCGCGGGCCGGGTAAGAGCCCCGGGCGGGCCTGTTCCGGCCCCCGGGCCTTACGTTTGACACCCCTGCCCTAGTAAGTCTCCGAAGTAAAGGCGGCTTCCCAGGGCAAAACGGGGGAAGCGTGCTTGGGTCTCACTTTCTCCCTTTCTTTCTCACCGTTCCAGAATTATTCCCCATCCAGATGGAGGGCGTGAAGCTGACTGTGAACAAAGGCCTCAGCAATCACTTCCAGGTAAAGCCGACGCCAGGCGCCCCTCCCCCATTTTGTTTGTGTTTCGCTTGTTTGGTTGCACGGTGTCTATCAGGGGACCCCCAACGGGGTGCCCGGGGGCGCCATGCTGCCTGCTGACACCTTTCCTGGAACTAACACTCCCTCTAAGCTGTGGAGTCTTGTCAGTGAAAATCCTACTTTGTGAGCTCCTGGCATTAAAGTTGTGAGCGAGCGATTTGGCGCCTGCATCAATGAGTTGGCTCTGGAGCCCTCCTTCCTGAGCGAAGACAAAAAGGTGTGAGCCGGAGGCCAAAAAACTGTGAGTTAGCACAGCCACTAGCCAGTCAACCCTTGGAGAAGATCCGTTCCCCACTCCTGCGACCATCTCCTGTCCCCCAGCCAATGCTCCCTCTAAGCTGCGGAGTCTTGTGAGCAATGTCCCCTCTAAGCTGCGGAGTCTCGTGAGCAAAAATTCTACTTTGTGAGCTACTGGCATTAAAGTTGTGAGCGAGCGACTTGGCCACTGCATAAATCAGTTTGCTCTGGAGCCCCCCTCCCTGAGCTGAGACAAAAAAATCTGTGAGCTGGAGGCTAAAGAACTGTGAGCTAGCTCACACTAACTCAGCTTAGAGGGAACACTGGTTAGAAGCCCTGGTATCATGCAGTGCAATTCTCTGTGGATTTACTTCTAATACAAAGTTGGATCCTTGGAGGTATTTCAGCCTTTTGATCTTATCATGTATTTCCTTTATCGATAATTGGTTGTGTGCAATTAATACAAGTAGAGTAAGGTAAAAGCTATTGTACAAAAACAGCCAACATTCCCCTACCTCATCTGTGGGATGGAAGGCTTAGAAACCCCGGATGTGGGTATCATACAGGGCAGTTCTCTGTGCATTGACTTCCAAACAAATCCCTTTTGGTTCCGTGCAGCCGTTTCCCTCGTCACCGTGCGTGGGATTTCTGCCTTAGCCATTCCTGTGAATAAGGCTGCGATCACGCACACTAAAGAATCGGCTTTCAGTCCACATTCCATGCACTCTACCAACTGGATTTTTACTGTGTGAACTGGCAAGATCCAATTCAGATGTGCACTGAAAGTGGGTAATTTATCGTGCGTGATCGTAGCCTAACTTTGGCAGACAGCACAAGCCTCCCCACGCCGACCAATGGGAACACTGGTTAGAAGCCCTGGTATCATGCAGTGCAATTCTCTGTGGATTTACTTCTAATACAAAGTTGGATCCTTGGAGGTATTTCAGCCTTTTGATCTTATCATGTATTTCCTTTATCAATAATTGGTCGTGTGCAATTAATACAAGTAGAGTAAGGTAAAAGCTATTGTACAAAAACAGCCAACATTCCCCTACCTCATCTGTAGGATGGAAGGGTTAAAACCCCCGGATGTGGGTTCTCTGTGCATTGACTTCCAAACAAATCCCTTTTGGTTCCGTGCAGCCGTTTCCCTCGTCACCGTGCGTGGGATTTCTGCCTTAGCCATTCCTGTGAATAAGGCTGCGATCACGCACACTAAAGAATCGGCTTTCAGTCCACATTCCATGCACTCTACCAACTGGATTTTTACTGTGTGAACTGGCAAGATCCAATTCAGATGTGCACTGAAAGTGGGTAATTTATCGTGCGTGATCGTAGCCTAACTTTGGCAGACAGCACAAGCCTCCCCACGCCGACCAATCTGTGTGGTGCTCTGTCTTCTTGGTGCTTGGGGGGGGGGCAACAGTGGGAGGGCTTCTAGTGTCCTGGCCCCACTGCTGGACCTCCTGATGGCACCTGGTATTTCTGGCCACTGTGTGACACAGAGTGTTGGACTGGATGGGCCTTTGGCCTGATCCAACATTGGCGTCTCTTATGTTCTTATTTGTGGCACATCGGCCTGAAAGGAGAAGAGCCCTCGCAATATTAAAAGACATCACTGTCTAGTTGCCTGGGGTGATCCTTACTCACCCTAGGCGAGCGGGCAGAAGGTTATTGAGCCACGTCTTAGCCATCGGTTTGTGATCCCCTGCTGTTCTCTCACCGTTGCCTCCTGCAGGTCAACCACACGGTAGCACTCAGTACGGTCGGTGACTCCAATTACCACTTCGGGGTCACCTATGTCGGGATGAAGCAGCTGAGCCCCACAGAGGTATGTCTCGATGCGGGAGATGCTGTTTCGGCACAGGTCCGGCAGCCTGATGCTTGACTCACCTTGGCCATGTCCCACCTCCTGGGAGAACCGGGTTTGATTCCCCACTCCATGCAGCTGGTTGGGTGACCTTGGGTCAGTCACAAGTTCTCTCGGAGCTGTTCTCTCAAGGGCAGTCCTGGAAAGAGCTTTCTCAGCCCCACCTACCTCACAGAGTGTCTGTTGTGGGGAGGGGAAGGGAAAGGAGATTGTAAGCCGCTCTGAGACCCCTTTGGGTAGTGAAGGTCAGGGTATAAATCCCATCTCTTCTTCTTCCAGGCCTTCCCAGTGCTCGTGGGTGACATGGATAACAGCGGTAGCCTGAATGCACAGATCATCCATCAGGTCACAAACAAAGTTCGTTCAAAGGTGGCCTTCCAGGTACAGAACGGCACGCTGGCTCCTTCCCGCCCCCGAGTTTAAGCATAGCAATTTTATATTTGTCCCAAAACATCTCTGTTGTTTCCCATTTCTTACTCAACCCCATTCCCGTCACTGTGCCCTTTTGTCCCACTTCCAGATCTCTTTGGAAACAGTAGATTCATGCTACTCCTTGGCAGTCAGTATCTGTGTGGCCGTTCATAAATGCTTAAGTTCCTTTTTAAAAACTCTCCGCTGAGTTCCGGAGCTGAATCAACGCCGGGTTTAGAGAAAGCAGATTGTGTCTTGTTTTATCTAGTTAGGCAGATAATCGTGCCCTGAAGCGCTCACATTTTGGCAGTTTCCCCCAAGTATGCTGTAAATCACTCTTAAATTACTCATGTTTTAAAAGTGCCGTTGAGTCTCAGTCAGCTCATGGCGACCCCATGAAGTCCAACATAAAAACACAAGAAGAGCCCTGCTGGATCAGGCCAGGGGTCCATCTAGTCCAGCATCCCGCCTCACACAGTGGCCAACCAGTTCCTCTGGAGGGCCAACAACAGGACAGAGAGGCCAATGCCTTTGTAAGAACATCAGAAGAGCCATGCTGGATCAGACCAGTGGTCCAAACAGTCTAGGATCCTGTCTCACACGGTGGCCAGCCAGTTCCTCTGGAGGGCCAACAACAGGACAGAGAGACCGAGGCCTTCATAACAACATCAGAAGAGCCATGCCGGATCAGACCAGTGGTCCAAACAGTCTAGGATCCTGTCTCACACGGTGGCCAGCCAGTTCCTCTGGAGGGCCAACAACAGGACAGAGAGACCGAGGCCTTCATAACAACATCAGAAGAGCCATGCCGGATCAGACCAGTGGTCCAAACAGTCTAGGATCCTGTCTCACACGGTGGCCAGCCAGTTCCTCTGGAGGGCCAACAACAGGACAGAGAGGCTGAGGCCTTCATAAGAACATCAGAAGAGCCATGCTGGATCAGGCCAGTGGTCCATCTAGTCCAGCATCCCGTCTCACACAGTGGCCAACCAGTTCCTCTGGAGGGCCAACAACAGGACAGAGAGGCTGAGGCCTTCATAAGAACATCAGAAGAGCCATGCTGGATCAGGCCAGTGGTCCATCTAGTCCAGCATCCCGTCTCACACAGTGGCCAACCAGTTCCTCTGGAGGGCCAACAACAGGACAGAGAGGCCGAGCCCTTCCTGGTAACCGAAGAACAGCCCTGCTGGATCAGACCAGTGGTGCATCTAGTCCCGCATCCTGCCTCACACAGTGACAAGCCAGTTCCTCTAGAGGGCCGACAACAGGGCAGAGAGGCTGAGGCCTTCCCCTGATGTTGCCTCCTGGCTCTGGGATTCAGTGCCTCTGAATGTGGCGGTTCCCCT